GGGGGACTCCCAAAACTTCTTTTACCAGGGAAGACTCCTGACCCCTTTCCCAATCTTAACTGCCTGCAATTGAGTGTCCTTTTCAGCAGAAAATGCTGTGTCACATGGATAAAATAAATTGGAAAACATTTGTCTACTAGAAAAATGGTTTACAGTTCTTGGCTAACGTACTCACGCTGTCTAGCATTTACAAACTCTCTGTGGAAAGCCATGGTTTTAACCAAGACTGAACCTTGGGCCTTTGGTCCCTGGTCCTCTAGGGCACTGCTAGGAGAACAGTGTCCATCCTGAAGGGGTGCTCCAGAACCCCTAGCACACTGGCCTGCTTGGAGGAAGGGGTACAGACGCTGCCGGGAGGGGTGAAGCTGGTGACAGCCCTCTCAGGTCCCTGCCCAGGTAAAGGCAGATTGCTGGTGACTGAGGGCATGCTCACAGACCTGTCTGGCCTGAGGGAGGGGTGACAGAATGCAGCACACTGAGGCCGTGGAAGCTTGCTGAGAGTCAGCAGAGTGATTATAGTAATATATGCCCATAACTCAGCCGGGACTGACAGCTGGCTTCTCACTCCCGGTCCCTTGCTGGGCACCCTTTGATGCCTTTAAGTGTGGCCTTCCTTGACGGCCCCTGTGTGTTTACCCTGCACCTCCCACATCACAGTCCGGTTGTGCCCAGCCCTGTGGGTGCTCCCTGCCGCCCACCCCTGCTCCCACTGGAAAGTCTGAGAGATGGATGGAGGTGTTGGGCAGGAGAGGCCGGACGCACCCTCGTCGGTGCAGGCTTTACACCACCGCAGCCGGTACATCCTAAACGTTAGCCAGGAAGCGGCATCCACCCACGATGCCCAGACATCCTGGTTTGGCCTGCCAGGGTCCAGTAAGGGCCTCTAAGCCGCCTTTGAACCTGAACCTCCCAGCTGGGGGGAGAGGCGGGGTAGATCTATCGAGACAATATATTTGAAGAACTGTTCTGTGTGAAGGTGAGCTCACTCTTTCCTTCACAAAATTGCCTCCACATGTCCCCAGGCTGGCAGGAGGCCAGCTAGAGCTTTGACCATCATTACAAGGCAGAGGGGCCAACCTGAGGCCAGGAAACCTCAAGCTAGGCTCCCACCCTGGCCCCTTATTGTCTCATTGGAGCCTGGAAGGTGGCTATCTCTCAGAGAGGGCTGGAAGGGCCTGATTCAGATGAGCTATGACTTTGGGGACCCACAGTCCTACCTTGAAAGGATGGAGGGGAGTTGTGAGAGATCCTGCCAGTCCCATTCACCGCACACTACACATTCAAGGGGGTCATGGATGAAAGCCCAGGGTCAGCATTATCAGTTAATGTGACTTTCAAATTTTGCAGGATTCTGGGCATGGTGAGGTAGAGGCTGGTTTCCAGAAAGAGATGGAACTTCAGTCTAGGCTAAAATAATGAGGGCACTGTGGCCATCCAGGGCAGATGGTAGGCATGGAGGGCTTCCCTGAGGGTGAGAGGCTGGAGGTGGGGCCTGCCTAGTTAGGACTGCTCGGTGGGAGACTCCCTGTGCAGCCTCTGGTTGCCGTGATCACCATGCTCGAGCCTCTGGGATGAAGCCCCCCACAGCTGAGGCAGCCCAGGGTGGAAGGGACCGGAGCAGAGCCCCTCTCCAGCCTACACAGGTTCTGAGTCCACATGCACATGGCTGGGGGTGGGGCGTGGGTCAGGGATTCATAACCTTGAGGGCAGGCAGCACCTTTCCTGCATCCATGTTGTTAGGATGCCAAAGAATGTGTGTCCCACTTCCCCTGCGGTCGCCCCAACCTTGTCTTTGAACTGAAAGATTCTAGGTGACTTTGGTGAACACAAAGGAGGTCACATTAGGGTTCAGTGGGTAGAGCGCTTGCTTAGCATGCGTGAAGCCCTGGGCTCCATCCCCAGCGCCACATAAATCACATATGGCCACACACACACACACACACACACACACACACACACACACGTCAGTAATCCCAGCACTCAGGAGGTGGAGGCCGGAGGATCAGGACATTCTCCAACACCTGAAATTTCCTTCAGGCTGGAAAAAAGAAGAAAAATGGAAGAGGAGAAAAGACGTGAAAGAGGGAGGGGGAGGGGCGGTAGCCTATTCCATGAAAAAGATGGGCCCAGATCAAAACCCACATGGGATCCCAGGTTACAGGGGGAGGGTCTGGGCCGCTGTTATCACTAAGATCAGCATTGACCAATGTTCCACCGCAGATGGAGACGAAGGGCCCGGAGGGTACTGAAGGATGAATAAGAGTTTGCAAGGCAGAGAGCAGAGAGTATAGGAAAGCCACAGCCAGGAGGTGTGAGACCCTGTTCCCTAATCTCTCTGTTGACTGTCATCTATCCCACGAAGCTATAACAACAACACCCCCAAGGCAGGCCCGTGTTGGTTATTTCCAGACTTACCATGGGAGCTGGCAATGCCCCTGAGAGGAAGAGCTGACGAACGCTTGGAAAGGGGAAGAGAGAGCAGCGAGTGGTGGGTTTAGGGCCAGGAGTAGATAATAAGCCGGGAACAGGGCTTGGGAGAGCAGCTACGGGCACAGACTTGGAGAGCTTCTACCCCAGCATGGCATAAACCAGCACTTGTCACCTCAGCACTCAGGAGAAGGAGGCAGGATTGACAGTCACAGATCAGCCTTGATGAGTTTAGGCCAGCCTGTGCTAAACCAGGTCCTCTTCTGTCTCTATTTCTTTCCCCCTGGAAACAGGGTTTCTCTGTGTAGCCCTTGGCTGTCCTGGAACTCACTCTATAGACCAGGCTGACCTTGAATTCAGAGATCTGTCTGCCTCTACCTCCCGGGGCTGGGATTAAAGACATGTGCCACCACTACCTGGCAACCCTCATCTTTAAAAACAAAAACGAAGCAACAGCACAACCCAAACAGCCGTAAACTAACAATTAGAAATGAGTTATCCATGCCTCTCAGCCATTTCAGCTCATCAATGCCACTTCCAACAGAGAGCCAGAGATTGGTCCTCGGGACCCACTCATACAAAGTGCTAGGGGCCAAGACTTCCTCCCCTTTGTACCAACCCTGGCCTGGGTTAGGGAAGAAACCTGGCTGGGTTTTTCACGGTTGTTTGTTTGTTTGTTTGTTTGTTTGTCTGTTTGTTTTAGCCTGGAGCACAGCAGAAGGAGGTCATAGCAGGGCCTGGCATCAGAACCAGTTTTTAATCCTCCACCTCACACTTCCTCTGAGTGAGTAGCCCCAGGGATCACTACCTCCCGACTCAGTTTCCTTGTTTGGGGAGACAGGAGGCCCTCCCTCCCCTGAGACCCTGACCCTGGGTTGAGCTGTCCGACCCACCAGGTCAACTCTTCATGACCCCACTCCCCAGCTCGGGACAACCAGGGTGAGTCACTTCCTATGTGGTGGCTCCGGAAGCAGGTGCGACAGTGTGGTTCCCAGAAATGCATTGTGGGACAAAGTTAGGCTGCTGGGGAAATCAGAAAAGGCTTTTCCCAGAAATAGCCCGGCTGGACAGCAGCTCGGGAGAAGAGGCCAGGCCTGAAATAGCTTGCCTAACCCCGGGGCACCAGGCAGGGTGTGGCCTGGACACCTCCAAGGCAAGGAGGGCAGAGCAAGCCCCCTCAGACAGGTGGGGCACAGACTATGGCTAACTGGAAGATGTGGCTAAGCTGAGTGTCAGCCCAGAGATAACCTGGGGGCCGACCTACGAACTGGCTAGCAATTTTAAGGACCCTGAAACATCCTGGAAAGACTCTATCCATGTCTTCTGTCCCAAAAACAGACCTTCAAGAAACAGGCCATAGAAACAGCCCCAAATAAACAATTGAACTGTCAGGGAAGGGCAGCTACTGACACCACCCTCAAGAGCTGACAGGGAATAGGACACTAAATGGAGAAGCAGGGACTCAGAGTGACAGCAAGAGGAAGTAAGGGGACACCCCCCGTAAGGCTGACATCAGCTCAGACCCAGTGGCAGCCCAGCAGTAGCAAGAGGAGGCCCCAGGCTGATTCAGAGAAAGACAAATAGCCAGGTATGATGTCTGTGGCTCATGAGTATCACCACAGTACATAGGAGAATGACAGGCAAGTTACCACAAGCATGAAGACAGCCTGGGCTACAATGTGAGACCCTACATTAAAAAAATAAAATAAAATAAAATAAAAAAAATTAAAAAGTCAAAGAGACAAAGAGACAAAACCGTAAACCGTCTGGATAGAAAACAGACCCCTCAGCTCAGGGAAACATGTTCTGGAAACAGAAGCCAGACAAGAGGACATCGGTACCTTTCTAGCCAGAGGGCACTGGGGGCTTGGACAGGGGTGGCCATGAGGTAGAAGGAAGGAGGACTCAGCTGAAGGCACAAGGTGCGGTCTCCAGAGGGGATGGTTCTAACATTACAGTGTGGGGGCGGGGGATGGGAGCTCTATGAACATGTGAGCTCTTTGTCCTGCGTGTCCTTCAGTGAAGCTTAGGTGCATGCTGGCACAGAAGGTGACTGTCACCCCGGGTAACATATAGCCTCTACAGGTGTGAAAGTCCTTGCTCGTGTGGCCACCATGAACATCCACTATAAGCCTGCAGCATTTGCAGAGGGGACCTAGCCAAACAGAACACTGTAGGACACTTTCCACCCAGACCCTCTGTGAAAGCACCTGCCTGACACAGCTCTCCTTCCAAGCTGGACTGTCATGGTCTTATACTGTCCTCTAGCCAAAATGCATTATTGTTCTGGAATGAAACAATTGAGATAAGGTTGGGTGAGTGGCTCAGCACTAAAGCTCCTGCCTAGAATCTCCCAGTAAGGGGTGGGACGTGAGTCACAGAACACCCACCTAAGTGCTGGAAGCTCTGAGTTCCATTCCTAGCACCATAAACAGACAAACAAACATTAGGAATCTATTGAGAAAGAAATTCTCTCAGGCTGTGTTTGTGAGACCTGGTGCTAAGCTATATAAAGTCTTCAAACCAAGCATGTGAAAAGAACCTCCTGTCCAAAAACCATGATGGATACTCACATCTACTTCTCCTTGGTCAATCACATAGAAATTATCTCCTTCGTTACCTACAACAAAACAAAGAAACAACAGATGTAAATCTAGCCAAGACAACCCCACACACACACACACACACACACACACACAAACCCTTGCAACTACATGCACGAGCCAGTGCCAAGTAAAACCAGCCCCAGGTACCAGTTCCTGGGCATGGAGCAACCCAGGCTGGTTTCATACTCAGAAAGGTCTACCTGCCTCTGCTTCCCTAATTCTCTCTTTCCCTCTTTGTGAAGAGTCTCACGCCATAGCCCAGACTGGCCTTGAACTCGTGGCAATCCTCCTCTCTCACTCTCTCACTCACTCTCATCCACCACCACTGGAAGCATCTTAAGTTGGTCAGGACAGATGATAGGCATCTGGTGGTGAACATACCTTGCTGTATGACTATTTCCCCAGCGATGTGAGTGACAGGAAACATGGCATCAAATATGTCACTGAAAAAACAAACACAGTTGGGAGATGTAGGTGGTAAACATGCTTCCCTCAACATACACTAGTCCTGCCCACTCTCTGCCAACTAGCCCCACAGAATCCAGTCTGCAGGCCTTGGGGAACGGATCCCCTCCACGTTAAGAAAGGGATTAAGGCCTTTAGCAGCCCTGCTGTCCAGAGCTTTACGGGCGCTCTGCACACAGCCAACAGACACAGCCTGTTTATTTGACTTCTTTGTCTGTTTATTTTGCTTTCTTAAGACAGTGCATCATGTAGCCCAGGCTGGCCCTAACTTCTGACCCTCCCGCCTCCATTTCCCCAGTGCTGAGGTTTCAGCCACTGCCCTGGGTTTATGGGGTACAGAAGAGTAAACCCAGGATTTCTACATGCTAGGCTAGCCCTCTCCCCACTGAGTCACATCCCCAGCCCCTGACTGGATTCCTACAAGAAAGGAATGACTTAGACACTGTTTTTACAATCCAGCAAGGAGAATAAGTCACAGTAGGTTATGAACACTTCTCGTGCCAATAAATACAAGTTGTTTGGGGCATGGCCATCAAGCCTGATTATGTGGATTTTGCTGGCTTTCCCCCCCAACTTCTTGAGGAAAATATTTACAGTCACAAGAGTGTTGATAATTCCAGACACAGAAATGAGAGAGCAGCGCTGTGGCTGTAGCTCATTGGTGGAGCCCTTGCCTCACATGTGAGAAGCCCCAGGTTTAATTCCCAAGCACTCCAAAAATGTAAAGAGATGAGGCATCAGCCCCAGATGTGCAAAGCTAGGCTACGTGGACCCTGAGAGTCAGTAAAGCTGGGGAACCCAGACCAGCCAATGTGCCAACCCTGTGGCCTGGTGGCTTCATCTTCTAAATGCAGCAGTACAATGGGCTGTTGGACAGAAGCCAAATGGAGTGAGGAGGGGTGAGCTATCAGAGTCCTGCCTAAAACGGTAGGGACGTGCAACTCGGCCACACATGTTCCAATCATGCCATCTTACCAACATAGCCCTTATAGCACAGTCAAAAATGCCAGCCCTCTCTCCCAAGCTGTGACATCCACCATCAGAGACCTCCTTACCTTCAGGGCCCCTGGCTCCCTGAGAGAGGAGGCTGTGCCGCTGTGGAGTACAGAACCCCTCTCCAGGGAGTGTGCATGCCTGGGAACATTCGGTACTTCCCTGTCTACCCTGACTGCTCAAAAAGGAGGGTAGTGTATGCAGACTGGTAAACTAAGGCAAGCCTCAGAAGAACTCAAGGGTTTTCTCTGGCTGAAGAATATACAAAGCCATCTGGGGAAAAAAAAAAAACAAAAACAAAAAAAAACACAAAAATGAAAGATCCAGACTGCTTCGTGCTCCGGTTCCAACATCCAGAGAATATAAATAATTCTTTACAAGACCTGTGGGAGATCAGCCTGGTCAACATTCCATCATGGAGAAAGGAAAAACACACGAGGCCACACCCCTTGCTGAGGATTCACAGTCAACAGTTGTTAAGGGAGGGGCCAGTGAGGCCCCACCCCTTTCCTGAGGATTTGCACAGTTTATAGTTGCTGGGAGAGGGCTCACAGATCCCCCACCCTCCCCAAGGCTTTACAGAGAGTTACTGGCTGATGGGGATGGAGATGAGGAAGGGGGATTTTCTTCAGTGGTGTAGCCACTACTAAATTGCCCAGACCCTGTAAATAACCCCTTGGCCATGCTCCTGTAAGCACAGAGTTCTATGACACTCCTTGGTCACCAAAGAAATAAAAGACATCAAGATAGAAGGAGGGACTGCTTCGAAGAAGAAAGGTCAACTGGTATGGGAGGGGACAAGAGAAGGCAAGGGGAGGTGAGCAAGACCCCAGGCTTTTCATTCCTGTTGGAAATGTCAAAGTAGCCCCACCGGCATCCACGGCTACTTTATCTAACCTTAAATGTCTGGCTATTTTCTCTTTATTCAAACACACTTCCCTGGAGCCCTTCACCCTAGCCCACTAACATCTTAGTTTTGAGTTTGCTGTGCTCGCTGGAAGAAGGAAGGCAGTCACATGAGGGAGCTGCGGGCAGGTCTCAGGCCAGCTCTGCATGTCTGTCTCTTGACAGGGTGCTTCTTGGCCATAGCATCTCCAGCATCTGTAGGAACCATCCCAGCCTGGCTACATTTCCTCAAAACCATGAAACAAGGGTCTGCGAAAGAGCAGGTCTTTAACAACCGACCTTTTGGCTCCTCCCACGCTAAAATAATAACCCTCCACTCATAATGGTTTTGTGCTTGTGTGCGTGCGTGTGGAGGCCAGAGGGCAAAAGGCTGTCCATTCCTAAGTCACTCTCCACCCGAAGTGTGTGGGTGCATGTAGTGCTGTGTACGCTGCGCACGCACATCTGTATGGGTGTGTGGGTGCCTTTGAACATGTGTGGAGGCCAGAGGGGAGTAGCAGGTGTCCTGCTCTCTCCTCCTCCTCCTCTTTCTCTCTGCCTCCACAGCATAAGTGCAGCCATACCCTGTGTGTGCCAGGGATTTTAACTCAGGTCCTCATGCTTACCCAGCAAGCAATCCTCCTACCCATGGAGCCCCTCTCCACCTTAGTTTTTTGAGACTGAATCTCTGAGCCTGGACCCTGGCCAGTAAGCTCCAGACACCTTCCTGTCTTTGGGTGTTTACACCTGAGCCACCTCCCCGGCCTGGAGGAGGGGACTATGTGTGTATAACATATTTATACATATTATAAATATAATGTGTGTGTGTGTGTGTGTGTGTGTGTGTGTGTGTGTGTATTATGCTGTAAGTAATTAAACAGACCCTGTGTATGACCCACCCATGCATTCAGGCAGCTGCCTGCTTCACCACCCTGGCTGCAGACACTCTTCTGAGATGTTCTTGGTTCCGCCTTCCTGATCCTAAGAGTTTGATGTGTGGCTGGCATCACCCCAGCCCACCTGGGTTGTCACTCCCTGCCCGAGCATCAACAAAGGAGGCCCACTACTGCCCCTCGCACCCTCTTGCTCTCCCTCTTATCTGGGTGAAAATGCACCCAATCTAACAACCTTCCTTTCTTCTTTGGCCTTGCTCTGTAGCCCAGGCTAGCCTTGAACTCAGGACGATCCTCCCACGTCAGCCTTCTAGTGCTGGAATTACTGGTGTGAGCCAGCTCACGCCGCTTCTGTCGACCTCGACCCTCCGTGGGGCCCTAGCCTCCTTTCACTCATCCCCCACCTGAGGACTTTGCAGATATTCCCATGTTTATGCAGTCACAGAGTGGGCCACAATGACCATTCCAGAGCCCCCAAGATGAGGGCAGACAAACATGATCCCATCTCCCTATTCTATGGGGCACGCTTCCACTCAGGATTCTGCCTGGATTGGCCAAGGCAGGAAGGGACTGAAAACATTTTCTGAGCAAGCAGTCCCCGAACGGAGGGTCTGGCTCTTCATGTCACTCAAAGGTGGCTTAGCAGGGCAGCCTTTTGCTGAACGTCATTGACCAACCCCCCACATCTCTGTGAGCAAACCAGTGTGCTCCCCGCCCCAACCCCCACCCAGCTGCATGGCCAACACAGAAACAAGCTAGGGACATGGAGACGCCAAAAATGCCACTGGAGCAGCCAGGCTGGGCCTCACTTAGCACAGAGGCTAACAAGCCAGGTTTCCCTCTGAGAAACCTGACACCGCTTAAGACAACTCAACAAGCTCCATCCATGGATCTACCCACTCCCTGCCTCCTTCCAACTTCAGACAAACCTAATCCTTTTCCCTCTCTCTCAGCACTTAATGGCATTAAAAGGCCACTCTGCCTGTAAAAAGAAAAACATGTTCCCACTCTGATCCGGAAGTCACCTCCAGAGGGTTCAACTGAAGCCACAGGCAGAAATCATAAACAGCCTCCCGTTTGGAAACCTGATCAACCCGCCCTCTCTGTCAACAACACTGGCTGCTCGAAAAACAGCAGAGGCTCTGGAGTGCCCATTGGTCAAGCCAATAGTGGAGACAAGCCCATCAGATCACCACAGTGGGCAGTGTGAGCCTGGCACTGCCCTGAGTCCTTTTGGCCACCTCTGGTCCCATGCACACCTGTCCTCACAACGTTGGAATGGTGATGACCTCTGCTTCCAGTTAGGGAAGCTGGGGACACTGGCCTGCTCTCATCTAGCAAGCCTTTTGACAGCGTTTACCTAGGCCGTCACTCCTCACCAACATCTCTTCCTCCTGCAGCAATGGATAAGAGAATGGAGGGGATAGACAGATGAGTGGATGAATGGATGGGTAGGTGGCCAACTGGATAAGAGGATGGGTAGACAAGTAGATGGATGAAGGAAGGGACCAAAGAATGAATGGATAGATGAGTGAATGGATGGATGTATGGAGAGGTGATGGAAGGATGGGTAAGTGGATAGACAGACAAATAAATGAGTAAGTAAGTGGGTGAGTGCATGGATAGATGAGTGAGCGGATGGGCGGATGGATGGATGGACAGACAAACAGATGGACAGATATGGGATTGAATGTATAGACGAACACATGGATGAGTGGGTAGGTGGATGGATGGATAAACAGTGAGTGTGCTAGTTGGATGATGGATGGATGAATGGATAGATGAATGGAAAGATGGATGGATGGATGGATGGATGGATGGATGGACTACAGAGTGAGACAAAAAGAAAGAAAAGAAAGTTGCTAGGTTGGTGCACTTCACCCAGATAAGAGGAGGAACAGAGGTGCACAAGGCAGTTGTGGGCTTCCTTTGTAGAAGCTCAGGCAGAGAGTGACAGCCCAGGGCAGGATGGATGGATAGTGGATGAACATTATAAATGGGCTGGTGGATAGACAGATATATGGATGAAGTGGACAGATGAATAGACAGTGGATGGATAGGTGGGCAGATGGATTCAAGGACTGGTGATGGACAGGTGAATGGATGGGTGCCTGAGTGCTGGTGACATACAATGCAAGAGTGGGTGGATGTATGTGAGGAGAAAGACAGGGCTGAAGAGAGAAGACAGACTGACGACTGTGAGCAGT